TCAATTCTGCACTGGATGCATGCTGAAACTTTCCAGTTCACTGCAAGGTTGGAGTACTCCCTACCAGCAAAATTATTTTTCCTTCCCACACGAAAATAAGCCCTCTACTTTTCCAGTTACTCTGTTGTCTCAGCTCAATTTATCACAGGGCCGCCGCTAAGATGTAGCTGCATTTGTTTAGGGCTTGCTCTGCTCATTACATCACACTCCGAACCAAGCATGCTTGACATTTTTTCAGATATCTTGCAAATCTAACCTTCCAGCTTTTTAAGGGCTGGCTTTTGCTGCCAGAGATCTTCTAAGGCCTTTGCACAGCAACTCTACAAATACAAAATCTCTGTTTTGCCTTTACCTTAATTAATCCCCAACTCATCAACCATTCACTGCCAGAAAACATATCAAAGAAATTGAGTTAATAAATCAAGTTAAGGATCAGAGTGAAATTGTGACTGTTCTTTTCGTGTTAAATTTTGTTCGAGTACGTGTAGTTATATACGTACAGTCACATGTGAGCTCCTTTTCTTCGTGCTCCAGACTATTTCTGAACGCAGATTCTTTTCTCTTGCGATAACTGAGGCTGTTTCCTTAGATGCTTTTCCGCTGTCCTAGAAATACCGATTCTTTCCAGCACAATGCAAACGGGAAAAGATAAAATACAAATGTCGATGGGTCCCTAATCTAACATCAGGTAACAGTAAGCCATGATAAATAAAATGCTTGGCACATGTTTCAACTGGAAATTGGTACTGCTGCTTCATCTTGTAATCTGGATTTAGTCCTCAATTAAGGACTTGAAGTGGGGCATTAGCTCGAGTATGGCCAAATTTATCTGCCTCCACCTTCATGCTGTGATCTGCCTGGTTTAAAACAATGTTGAGGGTCCTGCAAAGCACCCCACACTTGTGCAGTAAATAATTCTCAGCTTTGGGTAACTTCACGAATTAACATCATAACTCTACCTTTGAACAGTCTGGTTGCAGGTAGTTAAGTAGAGACAATTACCTGTAAATCTGCAGCAAAAGAAACTCACTGGGGAGAGGGTATCGCCCAAGTGTCAGCTTGAAGGGGTTCAACATTTCACTTTGCCTGACTATGTAAGTGCTTGGACATTTCAGATAACCTAGGGTTCTTACTTTAGGTTGTTCTGGTGTAAAACCAACGTGTTTTTTGTCTTGAGAGACCTGCTCCCAGCAAAAAGGAGGAAAGAGTTTTAAAGAAACACCTTCCCACAAGGCTGCCTCTTAAGCCAAAGTCAGCCAGTGAAGCTTTCATCTCAAACCTTTCACTTCAATCCCTCCTAAATCCTGCTAATAATAATTCTTAAAAACAGAGTGGCGGGGAAGCTCCTTCAGCACTGCACCCACTCTGTGCTCATCCGGCTAAACCCCCAACACATGCTTGGTCAGACTCCAAGACCCTCCCACCTCTTCCTCTGGGTTTTCTTTTGAATATAGCAGCGATAAAACACACATCTGAGCATCCTACTTCCACAGTATGTTGTTGTCACATTCTTCACCTTTAAAGAATTCCAACATATGTTTCTCTAAATGTTTTTTCTCTGTTTATTCCACAAAGTTCCCGGAATAAACTTAAATTATTGATTCTGACAGTTTTCAGTTGGTTTGGGCATTTCACTTGGGTGATTCCCCAAGCTTTGCGAGAGCAAACTCAGCTCAGAGCAGCTGTCTCTTTTCGTTGCAAAAATGATTGGTTTCAGATGTGGAACACTGAGGTCCTTTGGATTTATTTAATTTTAAAAAAATCTTACTCTTTAAACTGAAAGAAATTAAGGCACATCATATGTCATGGGACCTTGCTCCACAAATGGCATGTTCCTGGGCACGTTTCCCCACGCATCCTCCCGTTGCTTGGTTTGCTCTTCCCTGGGTCCAACCTGGAGGAAAATGGAGAGCTAAAGTCCGTTGCAATGAATTGTATTGGCGGTATAATGGGCTAAGTTAAAGCATAATTTACACTGACCAATTCAACAGCTTCCTTTCAGTCTTAATAAAAGTAAGGTTTACTCAAATGCCAGACAACTGAAGCAACAATGGTACAAGCAGCCATGGAAGTGAAGCCCCGTCACTCCCCGGTGGAGGAGGCTTTGCTGCTGCTCCTCGGAGGCAGTGACCAATGTCTGTGAGACTAAAACAACAAACCATTTTAAAAAAAAAAAAGTGAAACAGCCAAGAAGGAGATGTGGGGCCAAATTTGCGTTGGAAAGGCTGGAACAAGGGAAATTGCAGCAAGGAAAACCCAAGTTCTCCTCCTAGCCCATCGTAACCTGGATTTTGACCCTACTTTTCATAGTGGCCTCAATGCTGAGCCTTAAAACGACTGCTCTTGGGAGAGGAAGAGGACTTGGTTAGGGCATTTCTGGGTCGGTTCGGATTTATATCTCACACTTTGGCTGAATTAGGTATTCTACATATCTGACACTCTTTGCAAAAATTATCCACACTTACTAACAGAGTCCCTTCATCCAGAATAGAATGACATTTTTAAAAGCAAAATTTCAGTTCAGTGAGTCAAAAGAGCTTTCTGACAAAGCTGCAAGTATCACTGGCTTCTCTTTAAGATGGTCTAATTTTGCCTTTTTTGTGAGAAGAGTACACTTACATTTACCCACTCTGTACCCTTCTAGTACAAAAAGGTACAGCATGAAAACGAGTGACAAAATAATTAGGTATGATTCAGATATTTGTACCTGGACTAAGAAAACCATAGATGGGAATCATGCACGGTCTCTTCCCAGATGAATGGCTCTGTGAAGCCTCCTTGGTGGGGCCAGGAGGGTCTGCGAGGGCAGCCGGTGCTCATAACCCACTCTGGGACCACAGAGGTAAAATAACAAACGCACGGAGATCGGGAGCTGAAGGATTTAAAATAAGCGACCCAGAAATGGAGGAGGCATCACCAGGTGTTTCCTTCCATCGCATCCAGACATTGAGGTTTTCAGAGAGGCAGTTTTCGGTCCCAATTTGTGAATTTTAATTTGTCGCTAAATTATTTTAATCCTTCTAAAGTCTTTACTGCATCTAAAATGGTTTCAAATATATATTGAGTTTCAAATATGTATATGACTTGCGGTTAGCAAAAGCTGTGGTTAGGCAATATGTAGTTTGGACTTGCAGTTCAAAAACCTTGGACAGCTTGTGCTGTTTAAAAATAAACAAGTGAATTGGTCTAAATTAGCCAATTATTTTAATTGACAACTTCTCAGTTAAGTGCAGTGCAATATAGGTGCTGAAATGTTCAAAATATTTAATACTTTTCCAGAAGAAGATATTTCTGGTTTTAATTTAAGGCTATAGGTTTTGGGCTGCAGTAAGCATTTTTTCTTCTCCCCCATGGGTTTCTCTCGTTTCCTCCACAAATGCCTGTCCCCGACTCTGCCCCCGTACAACTGGCCACAGGAAAACACAGGAACGATTGTGTTCAGTAATTCTTAGGCTCTGCCCAAAACCAGAACATGTTTACGTGAATGAGTGTGAATAAATCCTTCCTGAACATCTTCATCTCATTTTTAATGACGGGAAATATTTTCTCTTGTGTAAGTATTTCCTAACTTGGTCAACTTCCATAGTTTTCTGTCTGGTTCTCCTGTTTAGAGAAGTCTGTAAGTTCCACCTCTCCTACATCCCTGGGTTTAGGGAGACACAGAGCCACCGGCTGCGTCAGCACCTCCTCTGCACCAGGGAGGAGATGCTGGGACCTGCTCACTGGCAGCTGCCATCTTCCCAATTCATCTAATCCAGCACCAGAAATTCTGTGTTTGCCGTTTCCGGGGGTACAGCTCTCCCTCCATCATTTCCATTCCAGCTTGCATGTTGGATGTGGAGCACGTCTTCCCTCCCTCCAGTTCATTTTCCTTCTCCACCTGACTTCCCAGGCAGCAGCATTGTCTCCTCTGCTCCGTGACCCTCACGCGTGTCATGGGAAATGGAATATTTGCCTTCGGTCACGCTCAGGCTTGGAACAAGTCCAAGCAGGAGGGTTTTTTTTCCCCCCCTGCCCATACTGACTGCAGCAGAGACAGCCCTGGGTGACACAGCCTTACAGTTTCACTGTTTGCTATATTCCCTGTTACTCACCATCAAACCTGAAAGATCCTTCTCTGCTCGCAGTCAAAAATTGCACATTACCCCAGCAGTCACCATCCCCTCACGTGCACCCTCTGTCCGACCCCAGCATGGACACACCGTTTAAACCACCTTCAGTGCTACAAACATTGAAGGTGGCAAACGAGCGCCCATCAGGGAAGACCCAGCTGTATCTCACCTCCGTGGAGGTGGGTGCTTTGTTTCAAACCAAGATTCCCCACCTACCTCAAAATTTTTACCATCCAGCCTGCAGCGTTGTGCATGAAAAATGTGGTAAAAGGAGGAGAATAAACAAATGCATTTGGCTCATGGGAGTGACACGAGAACTTTGGGTTTATGCTTCAAATGTGCACAGTTAAGTACCCGTTAGGGAAGATTATTACAGACACCTGCAAGGCCATAATGGCAATCCCTGCTCGCCGTGACTGCAGAAATGTAATGGATGAGGGAATTAGTGTCAAGTTTATTCAGATTTCTCTTTTAAGACCTCTGATGTGCATTTTCAGGGGGTTTCTTCTTTTTCTTCCGACATTTGCAAGGCTGATTTATTTGTTACCCATCAGTACTGTAATCAGTGCTTTATTTCCACCCTTCTGCTGCTGTGCATATAAAAAAACCAACCAGAGGTGAAACACTCGTTGCTTATCAGCAGTTTATATTCTGCTGGATAATCCTTAACTCGATGACACATAGCCCCACGGAGCAGCGTGTGCTCAGCGGCTCCGCAGAGCAGCCCGGCTCCGGCTCCATCCCTGGTGCTCACCATGGGGCACGCAGGGTGAGCCCGTGTCCCACCAGAATCCCTCTCAGCCCGCAGCCGCTCGGTCCTCCAGCTCTTGGGCAGCTCTCCCGGCTGTGCTCCCATCACCCTTCGCGCAGGAGTTTGGCAGCGTTGCTATGACGACCCTGTTGATGCAACTGGCGGCACCCAGCCGGCACGGAGCTCAGGTTGGTGTCCCCAGGGTGGCTCTTGGGGCGGGGGGCGGCAGGAGAGCATGGCCCAAACTCCAGGGTGCTTTACAAACTGAGCACCTGGGCTTTCCCCATCACCTGCGCCTGTTGCTGCGCCAGCACCCTGCTCTGGCTGGGGAGGAGCAGGTAAAGGCCCCCACTCGTAGACACCACCACGGGGGTGAGGAGGGGCTGGGGAGGGCTCGACTGCACCAGAGGGTACCGGCAAAGAGACCTCAGTGCCGGGCAGCACCATGGTGCAGGGGTCAATGCAAAGGGTGAACTTACCTGGGGCATCCTTGGGGCTGGGTGACGGTCAAGCAGGGTGCTGCGGCGCAGGCAGAGCTGGTGCGGAGATTGCACAACAGGATGCGGTGCGGTGGCAGCTCCTTCTATGCGGCCAGGTGTATTTTCCACCTTGCTCTTCATTAAGTGAAGATGTGAGACTGAAAAAAAGTAGAGTTGTATCTAAATTGTATTGCTCTGAAGTTCTGCGAAGAACCAGGAAAAAAAACAGGCTTCCTGTAGGGTAGTGCAAACTAAAGCTGCATTTTACCAGAGACCTGATAAAACTCCAAGATGAGCGCGCAGAGCAGCGTCTGGAGGAGGACGCGGGGCTCTGAAAGATCCTCATCGCCAGGCGCAGCAGCGGCAGGCGGGCCGGCGCCGG